TTATTAATGAAATTTGATTTCCATCCGTATTCATAATATTTCGTATCGTTGTATTCCTTCCGTATTCCTATGTGACTAATCTGCGTTTGCGATTCGTTAATCAGAAAAAGAAAAAATACATGTCATTATTTTTAGATACTCACAAGTCACGAATGAAGAACACATCCACTTTCTATGAATGTTTTCATTTTTCATTTTTATTTGGATGTTATTGACTTTGTGAATTATTGTTGAAAACCTTTTTTTATGTTAATTACTTTAATCATTTTATGAATTTATGTTGAAAAAACCTTATTTTTTAAAATATGTTGCTTATTTATTAAACGGGTTATATGGGTTGGGTTTTACCCATTAACTTGTGAACCCGCGAACCCATATACTTAAACGGGTTATATGGGTTGGGTTGGGTTGAGGTTTCCAACCCACCAACCCGTGACCCGCCAACCCATATATTATATGGGTTGGGTTGAGTTTATGTTTTCTGACCCGCCAACCCGAACCCAACCCAATTCGTGACCCGTTAACCCGAACCCAACCCAATTGCCAGGCCTAGCTGGAAGCGGGAAGCTAGGAGTTTGAGCTAATATGAAGAAAAATATACTCAACACGTCGTGGTGATCCAACTACGACGTGGTTTTTTGAAGTTTCCCGATTGGCTTCGAAGGCTTGTTGAATACGTGATAACCATGAAGATCACGACGTGGTGGCCTCAACACATGGTGGTGCCATGATTTCGGGAAAACTATAAATATATCCCATTCTCCTCCGAATTGAGAACATTTGCCTGGAGCTTTTAACGATTTTTGAAGATCAAGGTGCTGAATTGAAGCTTGCAAGCAAAGGAATCGATAGAAGCTTGGAGATTAAGAGCATTAAGGCAATAAAACTCTTAATTACGATTTCCTATTCTAGTTTAATCATGTCTGTGCATATGAATTTCATTTTTCTGACTTTAGTTGCAGAAATCATGGGTTAAACCTCATGACTTTCGTTTAGCCTAGGGTTATTTGATTTACTTATGGTTAGATTTATGGATTGGATTTGGTTAATTGGTTATTTGTTGATTTTCCTTATTAAAGAACCTCACGTACTTTTGATAACTATTTTCTCTACTTATTGTTGAATTTGATTAAGTTAGTATGACCATCTTCCTTAGTTGAATTTGAATCTTATGATCTTGTGAATTGCAAAATTATAGGACTAGAGTTTTGAACAAAACCTAGGGTTAAGTAGAAAAGTGGGTAAAAAAGTGTAGGAGCTAATATATGACGACAAATCATATATTGAATTGAATCAATAAACCAATTTGATCAATTATTATAAGTCTAATTAACTCGAACTGAACACTAGTAAACTTGTTAGTTTATCCGCGTGATCACCGTATGAATAATCTTGTTTGCTAAATGATTAAGTTAGTGAACACTAACTTGGTCAACTTAGGAATCAGTAACCAATGAAACTAGAATCCATTGCACTTCCATAAATCAACCATAATAGCAAATAAATACAAAGCTAAACGAAAGTCTCTCAATTACCTTGGTTAAATCATCTTTATGTTCTTTGCTTTGTTTTAGTATTTACTTCATTAGTTGATAGCTAGTTAGTTTGGTAAATTAAGTTTCTAGTCCTGCAAAACTAGAGAAAAACCATTTTTCTAATTTTATTAGTATTTAGTTAGTAGTAGATAAAATTTAGCTAAACCAGAATAAATCAATAATAACTTTAAATAAGCAATCCCAAACACCCACTCAATAGTAACAATGAAGTAATTTATGAAAAACACATTATTAAAGTCGGTATATGTCTTAAATATTTTATATCCAAACACATAAGATAATTTATTATTGATGTCAAACAACAAGAAGTAAATAAAAATATTGGATTTTGAAATTTCAATATCCATTTCTTTTTTGTAATCTAAAAAATGATCGATATTAGTTTCTTAATTGATAGATATGTATTTTTTCGATAATTTAATTGGCATATCTAGTACATACTAGATAGTAAGAACTAGTAATTGAGCCTGCGTTTTGTCACAAAATTTTATGTGTTTTTGTTGCGTATCAGAAAAGTAGAGTAGGAAAAATCATATATGTGTGTGTGTATATATATATATATACACACACACACACATACATATATACTACGAGTACGAAGGATAAACACGGAAATTTAGAAAATGAAGGGTTGCAAGTAACGGATTATACAAAGTTGAAGGCTTAAAGTTGCATTTTATGCATTGACATACTTGTATATTGTGTTAATAATTGTAGTATTAACTAAAGTGATTTTCTGTTGAGAGGGCCAAAGTAACATTTTAAAAAGAGAGAGGGGTGGAAAATGCATTTTACAAAGTAGAGGAGGGAAAATTTCATTTATATATACTACGGGATAAACACGAAAGTTTAGAAAATGAAGGGGGTGAAAGTGATATTTTACAAAGTTGAAGCTGGATGATGTGAAAGTGATATTTTAAAAAGTAAAGGGATGAAAAATATCATTTTAAAAATTAGAGTGGTTGAAAGTGACAGATTATACAAAGTTGATAGATTAAAATTACACTTTACGCGTTGACGTACTTGTACATTGTGTATTACCACTTGACAGGGGATACACACAAAAGTTTAGAAAATAAAGGGGTGAAATTGATATTTTATAAAATTGAAGGTGCATGAGGGTGAAAGTGATATTTAAAAAGTAAAGGGACGGAAAATATCATTTTACAAAATAAAAGGATTGCAAGTGACGGATTATATAAAGTTGATGAATTAAACTTGAACTTTTCGCATTAAACTCTTGTACATTATACATAAAAATATACATTTTTAGCTACTGAATTTGATTTTTGCATATATTTATAAAATGCCATTAGATTGTTACATACACGAGAATTTGGTTTTTATTTATATCTACTCTAATAAATATAAATCTTTTTGCCACATGTTACATGATTTTGCCAAATGTCATTTTATGGTTGTTTTTAGTTAATTTTTTTCCACATGACATTTTGTGGTTTTTATTTTATTTTATTATATTCCACATAATATTTAAATGTAGTAATTTCAATAAATGTAATAATAAATGTATATTAATTTTATTAATTGACTTTCATTCTAATTTCAAAATTTCTAAATTAAAACCTCATTAGTTACTTTTATTTATCTATCTAAATTATTTGTTTACATTTAAAAGAGAAAAAAAAACACTTTAGTTTTAAATAATTCAATATTTTTCTAAATTTTCTTTTAATTTAAAACATTTCAAATGTTTAGAATTTCATATTTAATTTTTCTTTTAAATAAACTCATGTAGTATATGGGTCTTACACCTAGTTTATAATATAAAATATTGGGTTTTAAAATTTCAATATCCATTACTTCTTTGTACAAAGTCTGGTGTAGTTGTGTATAGCAACCAATGGTTTTGGCACTCCATAACCTTTGTGCGACATGACAATTTTTTAATGTGCATAGCTTACGTAATGTAGGCTATAAATTACATATCAATTGCTAAAATAAAAAAGTTTGTTTCTTAATACTTTACTTTTTGTTCATATGTAATATAAATAAAGGCTCTTTGATAATACAAAATACAATTATTATTGAGCTATAATTTACAAAAAAACTTGTTTCTTAACACTTTACTTTTGTTCATATGTAATGTTAAATATAAGCTCTTTGATAATATAAAATACACATACCATTGAACAAGACTAGTTCATGATAAAAAAAACGGATGATTTTTCTTAGAATTGAAATTTTAACATTAACAAACAACCATACAATCATCAAAATTAAATATTGGTTTTATATTTTGTAAAAAAAAGTTTACAAACAAGTATTACCATTTGTAATAAATGTTTATGAGCAGATATTAGTCTCAAAATTTGTATAAAAATGATCATAATAATTATTTTTAAAAGTTTTTATTATAAAATAACTAAAAAAAATTAGAAAACGATTAAAATAGCATAATCGTCACAGGTAGGGCACTTGCGAAAATGTAGATTTTCGAAGTTGTCTGTTGTTATTATTATTATTATTATTTCAAACTTCTAACCTTCAAAGTAGGCTGTTTTAGCTGAATTTGAATTAAAATTTTTATTGTGTTATTTGTAACAAATGACTTTTCATGAACATATTACACTCCTACTTTAAATGTCAACAAGTCATATATATATATATATATATATATATATATATATATATATATATATATATATATAATTTCAAAGTAGGTTATTTGGTGAAAATTATGAAAAAAAAACTTAATAGTTTTCGTATACAAACTTCATAACAATTGTCATAACATTTGGATTCTCCCAATCACAAAGTGTCCTACAAAAATATTTTTAAAATAAATTTAAAAATAACTTTTTCGCTTTCGCATACAAACTTTGTAATAATCATCATATCATTTGAATTATTCCGATAACAAGGGTGGCCTAATATAATTTGAAAATAAAAAGTTGCAATCAACCTAGATTTTTGCAAATAGTGGCCTACGAAATCTCAAAAAGGCCACCAACATTGACGGTGGCCTGCAAAAATTGTAGCCAATTTGATATTTTTCATTTTTATGACTACTTTATTGTAAACAAATTAAAAAAATGATTATTATAATCTTTATCTTTTAATAATTTGTTGTTATCTAACATTTAAGCTTTTAAAGTAAGGAAATCTATGATAAAGTCCTAATATTTTTGGTCAGCTTACGGCTTAATCTAATTTTTATATTTTGAACAGAAAAGTCTTGATTATTTTATCTTTTGTCCAAATTAACAAAACGGTCATTATTTTTTTTTCAACAGAAAATGAGATTATCGTATAAATTAGATTTTTATGTTAAAAAATAAACGTTGAAATTAAACAATAAACTAACTTAAAATTTTAAGATTTTATCTAAGATTTCTTACAAACAAGAAAATAAAAACTATCATTTTTTTAATGTAAACAAAAACATCATAAAATATGAAAAAACAAGAAAAATAGCAAGGGTCCGAGAGTCGAGTTGCCATGGAAGAAAGCAAAAATCACATTTTTGTAAATCCCTTTGACAACAATATACTCCAAACTTTTTTTTTATCTCTTTCATCTTTATTTCTTCGAACTTCAAACCCTTAAATCTCTCCATATCTTGTTCATAATCTTTCTTTGTTTGTTCTTTTAGATTCCACGTGTATGTGATAATCACAGATTTGCATCTCACTGATTCATACAATTGGTACAAAGGTTCGGGTCTACGATTCTTCTTTCCTTTTTCAACACTCCCCCATTTCATTTCATCCATCTCTCCATGTGATTTCCAAATCATCATCAAATTGGCAGAAAAACCACATGCTTCTTCCTCCTATTGTTTCGATCGCCATTTCCCTACCTATAACTTCCCACAAACCCTATCTCCACTAAACTTATCTATACTTCATCATTAACTTCACCAGAATTTCTCTTTAATCAGCTGACCCAGATTAGTAGATTTATAGATTACGCACACACCCACCTTGTATTCTAAGCTTATATTGGGGGATCGAATTCGCAATTGGAGTTTAAAATCGAATTCAACACTTCTCTTTGATCGGATTGGTGCTATTTATTACTGGGTGTAAATTAGAAACGACAATAGGACAGGTGCGAGATCGATCTAGGTATTACAGAGTCAACATTTTTGGGTTGAAGAAATTGAACATACAGGGGTCAAGATTTTGGATCCGGTCGGAAGCGTAACAGCGCCATTAGATGGCGCTGTTCAAACGCTTCTTTTATCGCAAGCCGCCGGATCGCCTCCTTGAGATCTCCGAGCGGGTTTACGGTATGTTTCTAATTAAAGCGCCCCACATTTTCGCTTATCTTCTAGAATCTCGGAATCCATAGAAGAATCTAAGTTCACCTGCTAAATATTCTCAACACATTATTCAAATTCCCTCTTTCCCGTTTCTTTTGGGTTGAATTCGTAATTGGTTGATTATTTCTTCGAATTTTACTCAAACAGTTCGATTTTTTCTCCTGTTATATCGGATTTATCATATGATCTTACTTCAGCCCCCATTTTCTGTTTCAAATATCTTTCTTCTAGAGTTGAAATTTGGTTTAGGTCCAAAACTTTTCTACCTTCTGATTGACAAAATTTATGTGCAGTTTTTGATTGCTGCTTCTCGAGTGAAGTACTGGAAGAAGATGAATACAAGATGTACATGGGTGGCATTGTTGCAGAACTCCAAGACTACTATCCCGATTCATCTTTCATGGTTTTCAACTTTAGAGAAGGCGACAAAAGGACCCAAATTTCAGACATATTATCTCAATACGACATGACAGTAATGGAGTACCCTAGACAATATGAAGGGTGCCCAATGTTACCATTAGAAATGATCCATCACTTTCTTCGATCCAGTGAAAGCTGGTTATCATTAGCAGGACAACAAAACGTGCTCTTAATGCACTGTGAAAGAGGAGGGTGGCCTGTTCTTGCTTTTATGCTTGCAGCTCTTCTTCTATTCCGTAAACAATACAATGGTGAACAGAAGACTCTTGATATGGTATACAAACAAGCCCCTAAAGAGCTTCTTCATCTTCTAACACCTTTAAATCCTCAGCCTTCACAGCTGAGGTATCTTCAGTATATATCAAGGAGAAATTTGGGTTCTGATTGGCCACCTTCAGACACACCATTAGCTTTGGATTGTATCATACTTCGTGTCCTTCCGATTTTTGGTGAAAAGGGTTGTCGACCTGTTGTTCGTGTATATGGTCAGGATTCATCTTCAACAACAGCTAATAGAAGTTCTAAGCTTTTGTTTTCATCTTCAAAAACCAAAAAGCAAGCACGTTACTATCAACCAGAAGAGTGTGAGCTTGTGAAGATAGATATTCATCATCGTGTACAAGGTGATGTTGTTCTTGAATGCATACATTTGGATCATGTAAGAGAGGAGATGATGTTTAGAGTAATGTTTCACACAACGTTTATTCGAGGTAATGTACTTATGTTGAGTCGCGATGAAGTTGATGTCATGTGGGATTCAAGAGACCAGATTCCCAAGAACTTTAAAGCAGAGGTAGGAAAGTAGAAAACTTTGATTTTATTTTTGAATCTTTTTTATGTTATTTGAGAAGTGAAAGAAGTTGAATGCGTACTTATACATATAGATATGTAATTATGTATTATCAGGTGATTTTTTCGGATGCTGATGCTCTATCATCTATGATCAACACAGAAGGAGAATTTGAAGATGGGAGTGAGACAGAAAGTCCTACACCTGAAGAGTTTTATGATATGGAAGAGATTTTTAGTAATGTAGTTGATACGCAAGATGCAAAAGTGGAATCTGAATCTGAATTTGAATCTGATACTCTTTTATCTAAAGACAATGAATCGGATGCTGAAAATTATGATATAGTCTTGAAGGAGGAAGCACAGCCTGAAAATAAGGTGAAAAAAGGCAATGATTTGGGGTATATTAATGGTGGTTTGAAGCTTACAGAGGTGGTTGCTAATGAAGTTGAAATAAAAGATAAAGAGGAAAGGGAAGAGAGTCCAGGGAAGAAGGGTAAAGATGGAAGAAAAGTTTCGGGAAACTCAAAGCAAAAAGGAAAGCCACCGGAAGCTTCTGTGAATTCAAGAATTGCAAAACCGAATGTGGTGTCAAGGTGGATTCCTCCTAATAAAGGATCGTATACGAATTCATTGCATGTGTCTTATCCACCAACGAGGTATAATAGCGCGCCACCTGTCCTGGCAGAATTGGGGAAGAAAAAATCAGGTGAAGGTGCAGGGAATGGATCAAAGAAAGATGTTAAAGTGGGCGAGTCTTCACCTGTTCGGCGATCTGGTAAGTCTCTAGGTTCTAGTGCATTGAAAGATCTTGTTGAAAATTTGGAAGAGAAATCAGTGAAGGTTACTACTCCACCTCCTACACCACTGCCTCCAGTAGCAATCAGGGCACCTCCACCACCACCACCTCCTCCACCTCCTCCACCTCCACCTCCACCTCCTAGTTCATATGACATCTATATCGATGATGAAGTTGTGCCTGCTTCTCCACCTTTGCCTACTAAACAGGTTCCACCTCCACCTCCACCACCTCCTCCACCCCCACCTCCAACGTATGGAGCCACATATTCTCCACCTC